TGTTTGTTAAGCGCTTCATTAGGTGGTTTATTAAGTGGTTTATTTAGTGGTTAACTAAGTGGTTTACTTAGTCACCATTAAGTTTTATATTAAATTATTTATTAAGTAGTTTAATAGTTTTTCAAGTTGTTTGTTATGTGACTAAGTGATTTAAAGTGGCTTACTAAGTTTACTAAGCTGTTTAGTAAGTGATTTAGTGGTTTACCAAGTGGCTTAGTGGTTTACTAAGTAGTTTAGTGGTTTAATAAGTGGTGCACTAAGTGGTTTAATAAGTGGCGCACTAAATGGTTTAATAAGTGGTGCACTAAATGGTTTAATAAGTGGTGCACTAAGTGGTTTAATAAATGGCGGTAAAGTTGACCACCATTATGGTTTATCGTGGTGATGTGGCAACACTGTCAGGAGGTTGTTCCCTTGTGTCCTTCCTGGTACACTGACAGTGTTGCCAACACTGTTGCCGAACTGACAGTGTTGCCAACACTGTTGCTACACTGACAGTGTTGCCAACACTGTTGCCGAACTGACAGTGTTGCCAACACTGTTGCTACACTGACAGTGTTGCCAACACTGTTGCTACACTGACAGTGTTGCCAACACTGTTGTTACACTGACAGTGTTGCCAACACTGTTGCTGCACTGACAGTGTTGACAACACTGTTGTTACACTGACAGTGTTGCCAACACTGTTTCTACACTGACAGTGTTGCCAACACTTGCTAAACTAGCAACAACACTGGTGGCCAGGAGTCCCCAGCAATGTGACACAACAACACTGGTGGCCAGGAGTCCCCAGCAAGGTGACACAACAACACTGGTGGCCAGGAGTCCCCAGCAAGGTGACACAACAACACTGGTGGCCAGGAGTCCCCAGCAAGGTGACACAACAACACTGGTGGCCAGGAGTCCCCAGCAAGGTGACACAACAACACTGGTGGCCAGGAGTCCCCAGCAAGGTGACACAACAACACTGGTGGCCAGGAGTCCCCAGCAAGGTGACACAACAACACTGGTGGCCAGGAGTCCCCAGCAAGGTGACACAACAACACTGGTGGCCAGGAGTCCCCAGCAAGGTGACACAACAACACTGGTGGCCAGGAGTCCCCAGCAAGGTGACACAACAACACTGGTGGCCAGGAGTCCCCAGCAAGGTGACACAACAACACTGGTGGCCAGGAGTCCCCAGTAAGGTGACACAACAACACTGGTGGCCAGGAGTCCCCAGCAAGGTGACACAACACTGGTGGCCAGGAGTCCCCAGCAAGGTGACACAACAACACTGGTGGCCAGGAGTCCCCAGCAAGGTGACACAACAACACTGGTGGCCAGGAGTCCCCAGCAAGGTGACACAACAACACTGGTGGCCAGAAGTCCCCAGCAAGGTGACACAACAACACTGGTGGCCAGGAGTCCCCAGTAAGGTGACACAACAACACTGGTGGCCAGGAGTCCCCAGCAAGGTGACACAACAACACTCGTGGCCAGGAGTCCCCAGCAAGGTGACACAACAACACTGGTGGCCAGGAGTCCCCAGCAAGGTGACACAACACTGGTGGCCAGGAGTCCCCAGCAATGTGACACAACAACACTGGTGGCCAGGAGTCCCCAGCAAGGTGACACAACAACACTGGTGGCCAGGAGTCCCCAGCAATGTGACACAACAACACTGGTGGCCAGGAGTCCCCAGCAATGTGACACAACAACACTGGTAGCCAGGAGTCCCCAGCAAGGTGACACAACAACACTGGTGGCCAGGAGTCCCCAGCAAGGTGACACAACAACACTGGTGGCCAGGAGTCCCCAGCAAGGTGACACAACAACACTGGTGGCCAGCAGTCCCCAGCAAGGTGACACAACAACACTGGTGGCCAGGAGTCCCCAGCAAGGTGACACAACAACACTGGTGGCCAGGAGTCCCCAGCAAGGTGACACAACAACACTGGTGGCCAGCAGTCCCCAGCAAGGTGACACAACAACACTGGTGGCCAGGAGTCCCCAGTAAGGTGACACAACACTGGAAAAGTTCAGTGTAACTCTCATCTGATTACCACTGATAATAAGAAACTTGCAGTAATCTAGGACAGGTGTGGGGGCACTGGCCACCACTGAGAATAACAAACTTGCAGTAATCTAGGACAGGTGTGGGGGCACTGGCCACCACTGAGAATAACAAACTTGCCGTGATCTAGGACAGGTGTGGGGGCACTGGCCACCACTGAGAATAACAAACTTGCAGTAATCTAGGACAGGTGTGGGGGCACTGGCCACCACTGAGAATAACAAACTTGCAGTAATCTACGACAGGTGTGGGGGCACTGGCCACCACTGAGAATAACAAACTTGCAGTAATCTAGGACAGGTGTGGGGGCACTGGCCACCACTAAGAATAACAAACTTGCAGTGATCTAGGACAGGTGTGGGGGCACTGGCCACCACTGATAATAACAAACTTGCAGTAATCTAGGACAGGTGTGGGGGCACTGGCCACCACTGATAATAACAAACTTGCAGTGATCTAGGACAGGTGTGGGGGCACTGGACAGGTGTGGGGGCACTGGACAGGTGTGGGGGCACTGGCCAGGCGTGGGGGCACTGGCCAGTGCAGTGAAGGGAACTGTTAGAGCTTTGAACTAGAAATAATGATATGAGTTTTTGTGGTAAAACAATGAATTATGAGACAACAGAATCAGGCATGATGAATCCTCCGTGTGACGATATTGTGAGTTTTAGGGAACCAGTTATAGTTAGAATTAGGAAGAGTTACTGATGAATATTATAATGCCAGTGGCACTAGGTGACGAGGACAATAGTAAAGATAATGGAAGAACAGAAATAAGAAGGAAGAGAAAACAGAAGACAGGGTTTCTAAATATATGTTATACAGAGAGTCGTAGTGGTAGAAACAAAATGGACGAGATGAGATTAGTTGCAAGTGTTGGTAACACTGGCCATAACTGAGACCTGGTTTAATATGAAGTATCAGGACACGTCTGCTGGATGTCACATTCTACATTGATACAAGTAATGGGAAGAGATATCACTTAAATTGCTGCATAAAAACAGGTATAAAGACTGAAAGAAAACATACACAGAGCCTTTCTGGGTAGAATTTTCAGAGGGTCATAAAAAATTTATTTTAGGCGTGATATAGCGTCGCCCGAACTTGGACAGGTACCAAGTAACTACTTTTGGAGGAAGTTGTTAGGAGCCACAGGCACAATAACGTAGTATTTCTAGGGGACTTAACGTTAGTCAAATTGATTGGGATTCCTTGACTGGGAATTTAGAATCTAAACAACATCTTAGAGGTAGTTCAGGATTATTTTTTAAAGCAGTTTGTGACGGAACCTACAAGGGGAAATAACCTGCTTGACTTAGTTCTGGCAAACAAGGAAACTCTTGTTAATAATTTAGAAATTACAGAGGAACTTCACGCAAGTGACCACAAATTAATTACCTTTAGCATTAAATGGAAGTATAACAGTAGGAACAACTCAATAACAGTCTCAGATTTTCGCTTAGCAGATTACAATGAACTTAGAGAACACTTATGATCTGTGGACTGGGGTAACAAGGAGAACTATCAGTATGACAGGTTTCTATATACTATACGTGCTGCCCAGAGAACATTTATTCCATAGAAAGAAATATGATCCATTAGAAATGATCCGAAATGGATGAATAATGGGCTCAAATATCTTTTAGGGCAAAAGAAAAGAATATATAGACGCAACAGAAGAGGTGAGGGTCATCTTATGCATTAATATATTGACATAAAGAGGGACGTTAAAAAAAAAAAATAAGAGAAGCTAAACGGAACTACGAAATTAAAGTTTCAAATGATTCAATGACCTGAAAAGTTTTTTTTTCCAGGTATATAGAAGAAAGGTCAGAGAAAAAGTGGACCATCTTAAAACTCTGGACATCCCACTGACAAGGAGAATGAAATAATCTCGATTTTTAATCATTATTTCCTCTCGGTTTTCACACAGGAAGACACTAATAATATCCCAGTAATTAATTTTTATAATGGATATGGTATAGGGATGTAGTTATCAAACAAGTAGACAGACTGAACCATTAGTTAACTAACATTTTTAATATATCTCTTCAAACAGGTGTAGTGTCTGATATATAGAAGATGGCCAATGTAATTCCTATTTTTAAATCAGGGGATAAGTCATCACCGTCAGATTACCGCCCATAAACCTGACCTCAACTCTAGGCAAATTACTAGTCAGTTATAGCTGATGATATAAGAAGCCATCTTGATAAGCATAATTTGATTAATGATACTCAGCATATTAATTTATTAACCTTCTTCAGTAAAGTTTTAGAAGCTGTTGTTAATGATAAAGAATCCGATATTATTTATTTGTGATGAATGGTTTTGAAAACCGACAAGTTGAAAATTGAGACACTTACGCAACATATGGCAATCTTTATTTCGGAAATGTTTCGCCACACAGTGACTTCATCAGTCCAATACAGAGCAGAAGGTGTAAGGAGAGGAGGAATTTGAGGTAATCAGTCCCTCAGCCTGGAGTCGATGTGTTCAGTCCATCAATCTTGTAGAATGTACAGCATAGGGCCGTAGTGAGGTGAGGTGAAGCAGGCGGAGGCGGCGTCAAAGTCGAAGTAGGTCTTCGTCCAAAGGTTGGACAAGTGTTGAAGAATTCTTTGACGCCGCCTCCACCTGCTTCCCCTCACCTCACTACAGTATATAAGCCACGTTTACGACTCAATGCTGTCCATTCTACAAGACTGATGGACTGAACACATCGACTCCGGGCTGAGGGACTGATTACTTCAAACTTCTCCTCCCCTTACACCTTTCTACTTTGTATTGGACTGATGAAGCCACTGTGTGGCGAAACGTTTCCTAAATAAAGATTCCCATATGTTGCATAAGTGTCTCAATCTTCATTATTTATTTGAATTTTAGTAAAGTTATTGATGGAGTAACACACCAAAGACTGTTAAAGAAAGTGGCAGCTCATGGTACTGGGGGAAAGTATTGTCATGGATGGAGTCATGATTCACCAACAGGAAGCACACAGTGTGCATAAATGGGGTTAAATCCGAGTGGGGATCTGTAACAAGTGGTGTTCCGCAGGGATCAGTCTTGGGCCCGTTGTTGTTTATAATATATATCAATGACCTTGATGAGGGAATAACAGGAGATATGAGCAAATTTGCTGACGATACAAAAATAGGCAGGATAATTGATTCAGAGGAAGATGCCACTGAACTTCAGGAGAATTTAGACAAGCTTATGTCATGGTCTGAAAAGTGACAAATATAAACTCAGTGTAGACAAATGTAAAGTTCAGAAGCTCCGGATTCTAAGTAACCCTAGTACTTATAAATTAAATAATACAGAACTTGGACAAACAGAATGCGAACAGGACTTAGGGGTTATACTAAGCAGGAACCTGAAACCATGACAGCAGTGCCTAAGTGTACGTAATAAGGTAAACAGAGTACTGGGATTTGTATCAGGAAGTGTAAGCAACAGAAGTCCAGCGGTTATATTACAACTTTATACATCATTAGTAAGGCCTCAGATTATGTAGCTCAGTTCTGGTCTCCATATTAAACAATGGATATAAATTGGTTAGAAAACATTCAGATAAGAATAACAGAGTGGAAGGTGAGTATAGAGGACTGAGGTCTTGTGAGTAACCCTCTTATAAAGAACCCGATATAACGGTTTCAAATTGGTTAAGTTTATGATACAGGAAAGTATTGGTTTGGAAATAGAGAAGTTGAAAAGTGGAAGAGTCTACCTAGTAGGGTTATTGAAGCTAAAACCTTGGGTAACTTCAAATTTAGGTTGGATTAAAGTGGAACTTGAGCATTAGCTAATAAGCATATGTAAGCTTATTCCTTGAGTAAATATTTTTGTTAAAGGGCTTGAGTAAGACGTGCCTAGTATGGGCCAGTAGGCCTGCTGCCGTGTTCCTCCTTTCTTATGTAGGTAGAAAGGTAGGTAGGTGGGAGAGACAGAGGTTTAGGTTCCTCTTTTCTCCCCTAAGTTACGTGGTAATCCCGGGGAAGAAAGAGACGTCAGGTGAGTCATCAGTTCCCCTGGTACCTAGTGTCGTCTCGGGTGCTTTCTTAGGAAAGACCACAGTAAGTAGTTCCCCGTAGCTAGATGAAGTAGGTGATAAGTAGGTGCCTGGGCGCTAATATTCTGATTTCTGCTGCTGCTTTTCACCTAACAGTAAGTAGGCACCTGGGTGTTAGTTATCCAGTCTCCCGCTGCTGCTGTTCACCTAACACCATGTAGGTACCTGGGTATGTATCTCTACTTTCACTGAGGTGTATATCTCAGAGTATATATACACTGAGAGATGTATATCTCGGAGCATATATACACTGAGAGGTGTAGTATATCTCAGAGCAAGAGGGTATAGTTGTATCTCCTCCCATAACCCCTAGAGTACACCAGTATACATATATACTAAGCAAAAACCTCGTTAATAACCCTTTTGAGACCTACTCCCTCGTCACCTAATGACCCACCTATCCACCACCTATCCAAACTCATACAAATCGTAATTAGGTTACGAGATTTAGGTAACGAGGTCCTGAAAGGCGAGTATATAGAGAGCAGGAAGCTGTGGCAAGGCCAGCAGACTTAGCTCAGCAGTGAAGCAGATAAGTGCTGCCAGCAGTCTTACCTCAGCAGTGAAGCAGACAAGTGCTGCCAGCAGAGCTTCACTTGAGTAGTGTAGCAAGTGTTACACCAGGATCATCTATATAGTGCCCAGGATCATCTATATAGTGCCCAGGATCATCTGTATAGTGCCCAGGATCATCTGTACAGTGCCCAGGATAATCTATATAGTGCCCAGGATCATCTGTATAGTGCCCAGGATCATCTATGTAGTGCCCAGGATCATCTGTACAGTGCCCAGGATAATCTATATAGTGCCCAGTATCATCTATATAGTGCCCAGGATTTACATAGCTAGAAGAACAAGCGGGAGAACGATTTAAAATGTTCTACCCAGTGCAGGTATGTTAAACTCGTAGGGTGGATATACACTGCCTGTGTATATCAGTGTATATACATTGAGAGGTGTATGTGTCTCCATATAAACACTGAGATGTATATATCTCTCAGTAATAGATATTTATATATATATATATATAATATATATATATATATATAATATTATATAAAATATATATATATATATATATATATATATATATATATATATATATATATATATATATATATTTAAAGTTAATAAGTTAAAGCAAGGGTTTAAGCCGTCATAAACCATGCTTTGTAAGCATAAACCGCTGGTTTATAACCGGACAACTTCTCCCTCCTTACAGATGGAAGATCAAGCAACTCACATCACCAAACTGATGGAGGAAAACCGCAGATATATCCGGGAAAATGGGAAAATGAAGAAAAACTGGACGTCAGAGAGACGCAGCTTCAAGGAGAGGTACGACACGGGGCTTTACGACTCCCAGGAGGACACAGCAGAGCTGGTGGATAGAGTTTTAGCTCTACAACTGCAGAACACAGAGCTAAATGTGTGTTTAGAGAAGGAGAAGATAAGAAGAAGACATGCTGAAGCCAGACTAGAGAGAGATGAATCTTATATTAAGAGACTCGAAGATAGTGTACAAGTAAGTTATTTTTAATTATTGTTAGTAGTAGTAGTAGTAGTAGTAGTAGTAGTAGTAGTAGTAGTAGTAGTAGTAGTAGTAGTAGAAGTAGTAGTAGTAGTAGTAGTAGTAGTAGAAGTAGTAGTAGTGGTAGTAGTAGTAGTAGTAGTAGTAGTAGTAGTGGTAGTAGTAGTAGTGGTAGTAGTAGTAGTAGTAGTAGTAGTAGTAGTAGTAGTAGTAGTAGTAGTAGTAGTAGTAGTAGTAGTAGTGGTAGTAGTAGTAGTGGTAGTAGTAGAAGACATGCTGAAGCCAGACTAGAGAGAGATGAATCATATATTAAGAGACTCGAAGATAGTGTACAAGTAAGTTATTTTATATTTATAGTTAGTAGTAGTAGTATAAGTATAGTAGTAGTAGTAGTAGTAAGTAGTAGTAGTAGTAGTATGTAGAAGTAGTTAGTAGTAGTAGTAGAAGTAGTAGTATGAAGTATAGTGTAGTATAGTGTAGTAGTAGTAGTAGTAGTAGAAGTAGTAGTAGTAGTAGTAGTAGTAGTAGGTAGTAGTAGTAGTAGTAGTAGAGTTAGTAGTAGTAGTAGTAGTAGTAATAGTAGTAGTTTGTAGTAGTAGTAGTAGTAGTGAGTAGTGTAGTAGTAGTAGTAGGTAGTAGTAGTAGAAGTAGTAGTTTAGTAAGTAGTAGTAGTAGTAGTAGTAGTATAATAGTAGTAGTAGTAGTGTAATAATAGTAGTAGTAGTAGTAGTAATATAGTAGTAGTAGTAGTAGTAATATAGTAGTAGTAGTAATAAAGTAGTAGTAGTAGTAGTAGTAATAATAGTAGTAGTAGTAATATAGTAAGTAATAGTAAATTTTGTAGTAGTAGTAAAATAAGTAGTAGTAAGTAAATTGTAGTAGTAGTAGTAATAGTAGTAGTAGTAGTAGTAGTAAGTAGTAAAGTAGTAGTATGTAGTAAAATAGTAGTAGTATTAGTAGTAGTATAATAGTAGTAGTAGTAGTATATTAATAGTAGTAGTAGTAGGTAGTAGTAATAATAGAGTAGTAGTAGTAGTAGTAATAATAGTAGTAGTAGTATATAGTAGTAGTAGTAGTAGTAGTAGTAGTAGTAGTAGTATAGTAGTATAGTAGTAGTAATAGTAGTAGTAGTAGAATGTAGTAGATGGTAGTAGTAGTATGTAGTAGTAGTGGTAGTAGTAGAAGTAGTAATATTAGTAGTTAGTAATAATAGTAGTAAGTAGTAGTAGTAGTAGTAGTGGTAGTAGTAAGTAGTAGTAGTAGTATAGTAGTAGTAGTTAATAATAGTAGTAGTAGTAGTAGTAGTAGTAGTGGTAGTAGTAGTAGTAGTAATATAGTGTAGTAGTAGTAGTAGTAGTTATAGTAGTAGTAGTAATAAGTAGTAGTATATAGTAGTAGTAGTAGTAGTAGAGAGTAGTAGTAGTAGTAGTAGTAATATAGTTTGTAGTAGTAGTAGTAGTATATATAGTGTAGTAGTAATATAAATAGTAGTAGAATAGTAGTAGTAGTAGTAGTAAGTAGTAGTATAAGTAGTATAGTAATACTATAGTAGTAGTTGTAGTAGTGTAGTAGAGTAGTATATACTACATAGTACTAGTAGTAGTATAATTTGTAGTAGTGTTAGTAGTATAGTATAATAGTAGTGTAGTAGTAGTAGTAGTAGTAGTGTAGTAGTTGAGTAGTAGTATAATAGTAGTTAGTAGTAAGTACTAGTAGTATTATAGCAGTATTAGTGTAGTAGTAGTAGTATAATAGTAGTAGTAGTAGTAAGTAGTAGTAGTAGTAAGTATAGTATAGTAGCTACAATCATATAGTTTTATAAATATGTAGTATAAGTAGTAGTAATAGTAAGTAGATAAATATAGTATTAGTAGTAGTATATATATAGTCTAGTATAGTAGTAGTAACTATATAGCTATAGTAGTAGTAGTACATAGTAGATAGTACGTTAGCATATATATAGTAAATAGTAGATTAATATAATAGTATAAATATAGTTAATAGCACAGAGATAATTCACCAATCACTACAGTCAACCCAGCTAGAATTAACCACAAATACGTAGATAACAATACATAGAGCACCCATATAGTAAATCAGCTAGATGTCACAGTAGCTAGTTAAATAGAGCAAGTACGAGCTATTAATCTGCTAGTAGTTGACAGCTAGTTATTGTATTACAATTTATTAATCTTATAGTATATATTATTTTATACGTATATGGCCACCTTACAAACCCCAAGGCACCCGACCAATTCAACCACATGAACCCCAAATCAACCTTCAACCCATCACCCAAAATCAACCCACAAACTACCCATAATCACCACACTCAACCCAAATCAGCCACAAATCACCCGCAAATACCAAATCAACCCAAACACCCCAAACACCCACTAATCAACCAAATCACCACAAATCAGTGGAAGAATACAACAATGTTGACACTGGCGACACAATGCTGAAAAGTGGCGTCGGTTTGAGGCCGAGAGGGATATGTAATAGCAGCAGATTGTCGACCTTAAGAGCCCCCCCGAGGTGAGGCGGGTTTAGCACTCTCCTCACACTGGGGGGAAAATCCCCCACTACCTGCAAGCCTTGGCCCGGTTTTTCCCCGGTTTTTCCCGGTTTATTAAACCCGGTGAAGGCATTCCGGGGGATTTTTTTCATACACTTGACTCCACGCAGGTTTTAATCTTGGTTTATACTGCAGGAGATTAAATATTGCAACAACACTGGCTAGCTTATGTTGCAACAACACTGGCTAGCTTATGTTGCAACAACACTGGCTAGCTTATGTTGCAACAACACTGGCTAGCTTATGTTGCAAAAAACACTGGCTAGCTTATGTTGCAACAACACTGGCTAGCTTATGTTGCAACAACACTGGCTAGCTTATGTTGCAACAACACTGGCTAGTTTATGTTGCAACAACACTGGCTAGTTTATGTTGCAACAACACTGGCTAGTTTACGTTGCAGCTCATATCTATCGTCAGGCAGGTAGCACAAGGGCATATGGGTACGTAATAGGCCTAGGAACTAGGCCTATTATGTACCCATATCCCATTGTAAATATCAATTAAGACGTACTCTCGTACATCTGGACTGATGTCTACAATTTGGTATCTTATTTTCATTAATAAGATATTTTGACGTATCACATATGTTATTATACTGTCTTATATATATATGTTGGTAAGTGGACAATTAAGTATATAGTGTTCAAGATAGTGACCATAAAGCTGGCCACATACTTGGTAGTTGGTGTGATTATCATCTGTGTGTCTGTCAGACTGTCAGAAGTACTTGTAACCAAGCCTCAGTCTGGCCACTACATCAGTCAGTACTTGTAACCAAGCCTCAGTCTGGCCACTACATCAGTCAGTACTTGTAACCAAGCCTCAGTCTGGCCACTACATCAGTCAGTACTTGTAACCAAGCCTCAGTCTGGCCACTACATCAGTCAGTACTTGTAACCAAGCCTCAGTCTGGCCACTACATCAGTCAGTACTTGTAACCAAGCCTCAGTCTGGCCACTACATCAGTCAGTACTTGTAACCAAGCCTCAGTCTGGCCACTACATCAGTCAGTACTTGTAACCAAGCCTCAGTCTGGCCACTACATCAGTCAGTACTTTAACCAAGCCTCAGTCTGGCCACTACATCAGTCAGTACTTGTAACCAAGCCTCAGTCTGGCCACTACATCAGTCAGTACTTGTAACCAAGCCTCAGTCTGGCCACTACATCAGTCAGTACTTGTAACCAAGCCTCAGTCTGGCCACTACAACATCAGTGTTCACGTTACAAGTTGCTCCATCAACATACTTATCAACATTATCATAGTGGGTTACACGTCTACTAAAGTTTCTTACTACATTCATTCAGTTTCATTATTTACTTCTAATATTATTGATAATGTGTGACACTGAGACACCAGAGTTATATTGTTCATGATCCTTCAGTGTACTTGGCTATCAGGAGGAAGTGATCCAGTGTGTGAGATATCCATACCAGTTGTAGATGATTGTTGTATCAAAAAACTGTTGTGGCTGGCAGTTACTGCTGGTGATGTCACTGTTACGTAACTGTTGTGGTTGGCAGTTACTGTTAGTGATGTCACTGTTACGTAACTGTTGTGGCTGGCACCTTCTGTTAGTGATGTCACTGTTACTTAACTGTTGTGGTTGGCAGTTACTGTTAGTGATGTCACTGTTACGTAACTGTTGTGGCTGGCAGTTACTGCTAGTGATGTCATTGTTACTTAACTGTTGTGGTTGGCAGTTACTGTTAGTGATGTCACTGTTACGTAACTGTTGTGGCTGGCACTTTCTGTTAGTGATGTCACTGTTACTTAACTGTTGTGGTTGGCAGTTACTGTTAGTGATGTCACTGTTACTTAACTGTTGTGGCTGGCAGTTACTGTTAGCGATGTCACTGTTACTTAACTGTTGTGGTTGGCAGTTACTGTTAGTGATGTCACTGTTACGTAACTGTTGTGGCTGGCAGTGCATAAGGACTACATATAGGTACATAATGACTACATATAGGTACATAAGGACTAGATATAGGTACACAAGGACTACATATAGGTACATAATGACTACATATAGGTACATAAGGACTAGATATAGGTACACAAGGACTACATATAGGTACATAATGACTACATATAGGTACATAAGGACTACATATAGGTACACAAGGACTACATATAGGTACATAATGACTACATATAGGTACATAAGGACTACATATAGGTACACAAGGACTACATATAGGTACATAATGACTACATATAGGTACATAAGGACTAGATATAGGTACACAAGGACTACATATAGGTACATAATGACTACATATAGGTACATAAGGACTACATATAGGTACACAAGGACTACATATAGGTACATAATGACTACATATAGGTACATAAGGACTAGATATAGGTACACAAGGACTACATATAGGTACATAATGACTACATATAGGTACATAAGGACTACATACAGGTACACAAGGACTACATATAGGTACATAATGACTACATATAGGTACATAAGGACTACATATAGGTACACAAGGACTACATATAGGTACATAATGACTACATATAGGTACATAAGGACTACATATAGGTACACAAGGACTACATATAGGTACATAATGACTACATATAGGTACATAAGGACTACATATAGGTACACAAGGACTACATATAGGTACACAAGGACTACATATAGGTACATAATGACTACATATAGGTACATAATGACTACATATAGGTACATAATGACTACATATAGGTACATAATGACTACATATAGGTACATAATGACTACATATAGGTACATAATGACTACATACAGGTACATAAAGACTACATATAAGTAGAGTAAGGCTACATAAGAGAGGCTACATTGCGTTGTTATCCTGCAGAGTCTACGAGGTACCAGAGTAGTGATGGACCCGGGTACCTACCGTCAGGTAGCTGAGGCTTACATAGCAGCCAGGAGGACACCTGCTAGACGACCACACACCCATCAAGGTTTACCGCACTCTGACCTGGTCTGTGATTCATCCCAGGACGACTTAATAGTAAGTTATTATTATTATTATTATTATTATTATTATTATTATTATTATTATTATTATTGTTATTATTATTATTATTATTATTATTATTATTATTATTATTATTATTATTATCATTATTATTATTATTATTATTATTATTATTATTATTATTATTATTATTATTAGAATTATTATTATTATTATTATTATTATTATTATTATTATTATTATTATTATTATTATTATTATTATTATTAACAAGCAATATTATCATTATTATAATTATTATCCGTGGAATTGTGGGTTAGTTGTGGCAGGTTGTAGTGTGGGTATTGTGGGTTAGTTGTGGCAGGTTGTAGTGCGGGTATTGTGGGTTAGTTGTGGCTGGTTGTAGTGTGGGTACTGTGGGTTAGTTGTGGTTGGCTGTAGCGTGGGTAATGTGGGTTAATTGTGGCAGGTTGTAGTGTGGGTACTGTGGGTTAGTTGTGGCAGGTTGTAGTGTGGGTATTGTTAGTTGTGACTGGTTGTAGTGTGGGTACTGTGGGTTAGTTGTGACTGGTTGTAGTGTGGGTACTGTGAGTTAGTTGTGACTGGTTGTAGTGTGGGTATTGTGGGTTAGTTGTGGCAGGTTGTAGTGTGGGTATTGTGGGTTAGTTGTGGCAGGTTGTGGCGTGGGTATTGTGGTTAGTTGTGGCTGGTTGTAGTGTGGGTACTGTGGGTTAGTTGTGACTTGTTGAAGTGTGTGTACTGTGGGTTAGTTGTGACTGGTTGTAGTGTGGGTACTGTGGGTTAGTTGTGACTGGTTGTAGTGTGGGTATTGTGGGTTAGTTGTGACTGGTTGTAGTGTGGGTACTGTGGGTTAGTTGTGACTGGTTGTAGTGTGGGTACTGTGGGTTAGTTGTGACTGGTTGTAGTGTGGGTATTGTGGGTTAGTTGTGACTGGTTGTAGTGTGGGTACTGTGGGTTAGTTGTGACTGGTTGTAGTGTGGGTACTGTGGGTTAGTTGTGACTGGTTGTAGTGTGGGTATTGTGGGTTAGTTGTGACTGGTTGTAGTGTGGGTACTGTGGGTTAGTTGTGACTGGGCAGAGCCAGGGTACCGTATTAAGTTACTAATAGCTTGTGTTGTCTTACAGAGCGGCCAGAGTGAGTTACATCGTGGTACAATCCTACACAGTTCCAGCTGGCCATCCTCACCTCGCTCTGGCTCTTCTCCGTGCCCATCACCCACGCTCTACCCATCGCAGGATGCCCATGAGTACCCATTAGATCTACCTATCCCGCGAAACCTCAGCGACAAGAAAGATCGCGGCCTCAACTCACGCGATGTTGCTCCAGGAGTTGGTGTGCCAGCAGGCGCCGCCATGACGGCCTGGGACTATGAACAACTACTGAGCAGTCTTTCTGAACTAGATGGGACAAGCAGAGGTGCCCTGTCCTGAAGGATACTACTAGGATGTACCATCCTCAAGGATACTACTAGGATGTACCATCCTCAAGGATACTTGATCAACCTCAAAATTTACGTCACTGACGTAACAGTTGTGGAAGATGACGTAGATCACGTAAGGTACCGTGATGGTGGGGCAAAGTACAGTGTACCAAGATGTACCACAGTGTACCAAGATGTACCACAGTGTACCAAGATGTACCACAGTGTACCAAGATGTACCACAGTGTACCAAGATGTACCACAGTGTATCAAGATGTACCACAGTGTACCAAGATGTACCACAGTGTACCAAGGTGTACCACAGTGTACCAAGATGTACCACAGTGTACCAAGATGTACAACAGTGTACCAAGATGTTCCACAGTGTACCAAGATGTACCATAGTGTACCAAGATGTACCACAGTGTACCAAGATGTACAACAGTGTACCAAGATGTACCACAGTGTACCGTGATGTACCAAGATATACCACAGTGTACCAACACGTACCACAGTGTATCATAATGTACCAAGATGTACCACAGTGTACCATGAAGTACCAAGATATACCACGGTGTACCGTGGCGTTAAAAGATGTACCACAGTGTACCACGATGTACCAAGATGTACCACAGTATACCATGATGTACCAGAATGTACCAAGATGTACCACAGTATACCATGATGTACCACAGTGTACCAAGATGTACCACAGTATACCATGATGTACCACAGTGTACCAAGATGTACCACAGTGTGCCATGATGTACGAAGATTACCACAGTGTACCAAGATGTACCACAGTGTACCATGATTTACCAGTATGTACCACAGTGTACCAAGATGTACCAAGATGTACCACAATCTACCACGATGTACCAAGATGTACCACAGTGTACCATGATGTACCAAGATGTACCACAATCTACCACGATGTACCAAGATGCACCACAGTGTACCATGATGTACCAAGATGTACCACAGTGTACCATGATGTACCAAGATGTACCACAGTGTATCAAGATAAACCACAGTGTACCAAAATGTACCACAGTGTACCAAGATGTACCAAGATGTACCACAGTGTACCAAGATGTACCACAGTGTACCTAGATTTACCACAGTGTACCAAGATGTACCAAGATGTACCACAGTGTACCATGATGTACCACAGTGTACTAACATGTACCAGAGCTTTGTAGATGTTTGACACTGATCATGACTGGTACTGTACATGACTGGTACTGTACATGTCTGGTACTGTACATGTCTGGTACTGTACATGACTGGTACTGTACATGACTGGTACTGTACATGACTGGTACTGTACATGTCTGGTACTGTACATGACTGGTACTGTACATGTCTGGTACTGTACATGACTGGTACTGTACATGTCTGGTACTGTACATGTCTGCTACTGTACATGACTGGTACTGTACATGACTGGTACTGTACATGACTGGTACTGTACATGTCTGGTACTGTACATGTCTGGTACTGTACATGACTGGTACTGTACATGTCTGGTACTGTACATGTCTGGTACTGTACATGTCTGGTACTGTACATGACTGGTACTGTACGTGACTGGTACTGTACATGACTGGTACTGTACATGACTGGTACTGTACATGTCTGGTACTGTACATGACTGGTACTGTACATGACTGGTACTGTACATGACTGGTACTGCACATGTCTGGTACTGTACATGACTGGTACTGTACATGACTGGTACTGTTCATGACTGGTACTGTACATGACTGGTACTGTACATGTCTGGTACTGTACATGACTGGTACTGTTCATGACTGGTACTGTACATGACTGGTACTGTACATGTCTGGTACTGTACATGACTGGTACTGTTCATGACTGGTACTGTACATGTCTGGTACTGTACATGACTGGTACTGTACATGACTGGTACTGTACATGACTGGTACTGTACATGACTGGTACTGTACATGACTGGTACTGTACGTGACTGGTACTGTACATGACTGGTACTGTACATGACTGGTACTGTACATGACTGGTACTGTACATGACTGGTACTGTACGTGACTGGTACTGTACATGACTGGTACTGTACATGACTGGTACTGTACATGTCTGGTACTGTACATGTCTGGTACTGTCCATGTCTGGTACTGTACATGACTGGTACTGTACATGACTGGTACTGTTCATGTCTGGTACTGTACATGACTGGTACTGTACATGTCTGGTACTGTACATGACTGGTACTGTACATGACTGGTACTGTACATGACTGGTACTGTACATGACTGGTACTGTACATGTCTGGTACTGTACATGACTGGTACTGTACATGTCTGGTACTGTACATGACTGGTACTGTACATGATTGGTACTGTACATGACTGGTACTGTACGTGACTGGTACTGTACATGACTGGTACTGTACGTGACTGGTACTGTACATTACTGGTACTGTACATGACTGGTACTGTACGTGACTGGTACTGTACATGACTGGTACTGTACATGACTGGTACTGTACATGACTGGTACTGTACGTGACTGGTACTGTACGTGACTGGTACTGTACGTGACTGGTACTGTACATGACTGGTACTGTACGTGACTGGTACTGTACATGACTGGTACTGTACATGACTGGTACTGTACGTGACTGGTACTGTACATGACTGGTACTGTACGTGACTGGTACTGTACGTGACTGGTACTGTACGTGACTGGTACTGTACGTGACTGGTACTGTACATGACTGGTACTGTACGTGACTGGTACTGTACATGACTGGTACTGTACATGACTGGTACTGTACGTGACTGGTACTGTACATGACTGGTACTGTACATGTCTGGTACTGTACATGACTGGTACTGTACATGACTGGTACTGTACATGACTGGTACTGTACATGACTGGTACTGTACATGACTGGTACTGTACATGACTGGTACTGTACATGACTGGTACTGTACATGACTGGTACTGTACATGACTGGTACTGTACGTGACTGGTACTGTACGTGACTGGTACTGTACGTGATTGGTACTGTACATGACTGGTACTGTACATGACTGGTACTGTACGTGACTGGTACTGTACATGACTGGTACTGTACGTGACTGGTACTGTACGTGACTGGTACTGTACATGTCTGGTACTGTACATGACTGGTACTGTACGTGACTGGTACTGTACATGACTGGTACTGTACATGACTGGTACTGTACATGACTGGTACTGTACATGACTGGTACTGTACATGACTGGTACTGTACATGACTGGTACTGTACGTGACTGGTACTGTACATGACTGGTACTGTACATGACTGGTGCTGTACATGACTGGTACTGTACGTGACTGGTACTGTACATGACTGGTGCTGTACATGACTGGTACTGTACGTGACTGGTACTGTACGTGACTGGTACTGTACGTGACTGGTACTGTACATGACTGGTGCTGTACATGACTGGTACTGTACGTGACTGGTACTGTACGTGACTGGTACTGTACGTGACTGGTACTGTACGTGACTGGTACTGTACGTGACTGGTACTGTACATGACTGGTACTGTACATGACTGGTACTGTACATGACTGGTACTGTACGTGACTGGTACTGTACATGACTGGTACTGTACGTGACTGGTACTGTACGTGACTGGTACTGTACGTGACTGGTACTGTACGTGACTGGTACTGTACATGACTGGTACTGTACGTGACTGGTACTGTACGTGACTGGTACTGTACGTGACTGGTACTGTACGTGACTGGTACTGTACGTGACTGGTACTGTACGTGACTGGTACTGTACGTGACTGGTACTGTACGTGACTGGTACTGTACATGACTGGTACTGTACGTGACTGGTACTGTACATTAATGCTATACCAAATAATTCCCTCAAAACTGATCATTTTAATCCAGATCAATATAATTCCTAATTATTTATGAGTTTTTAGTTATATTTTGAAGTTATTTTATTTCACTATTTAAGACCTTCAAATGTAACATCAATGTAATTATGGCCAAATAAATAAGTCATAGTTGATTATTTTTATAATTAATATGAAACCTAACTAATCAATCATTGGATAGATTTCAAACCTAGCTAACAATCACTGGATAGACTTGAAGTCTAACTAATCAGTCGCCTTCTCTTCACCTGTTTTGCTCAGTGTTACAATGTAACATTTGTTCAGTGTTACAATGTAACATTTGTTCAGTGTTACAATGTAACATTTGTTCAGTGTTACAATGTAACATTTGTTCAGTGTTACAATGTAACATTTGTTCAGTGTTACAATGTAACATTTGTTCAGTGTTACAATGTAACATTTGTTCAGTGTTACAATGTAACATTTGTTCAGCGTTACAATGTAACATTTGTTCAGTGTTACAATGTAACATTTGTTCAGCGTTACAATGTAACATTTGTTCAGTGTTACAATGTAACATTTGTTCACTGTTACAATGTAACATTTGTTCAGTGTTACAATGTAACATTTGTTCAGCGTTACAATGTAACATTTGTTCAGTGTTACAATGTAACATTTGTTCACTGTTACAATGTAACATTTGTTCACAGTTGAACACTGAATGCTCTGCTTCAGGGATGAGTCTATATTTGCTCATTAAAGAGCTCTTGATTCAAGGAATTAGAGCTCTTATCTTTCTTGTATCACGCTTGACTACATAAGCCCCCCACAGGCGCCATACAGCCCCTGCGGGTTTAGTGTTTCTTAAATAATAAAGACGGCCGCGCCCACTAAAGACGTCATAAGGGGACGTCCAAGCAGCGACCATTTTTATGACTTTCTGTTTATTCATTTAGTTATAAATTTTCCCACTAGATGGTACCTAGTGAGAATAATTCAGTTATTGTAACCTAGTGAGAATAATTCAGCTGTTTACAACAGCTACTGTCATCTGTTGTTTGCAGCAATCACGACTAACAAGAAATTAACAGCAATTCATAATAATGGGTTGCTAATATGGC